GGCTTGGAGCTCTTCTTTTTCTCTGTGCTTCTGTCTCCTTGAACCCCAGTCGGCCTCAGCAGACACTGAGCCTGGTTCTGCTGGAGGTTTCTTCCTGTTAAAAAGGCAGTTTTTCCTCCCCACTGTCGCTACAAACATACTTAGTGTGAGGGATTGCAATTGAATAAACGAGTAGATGCAATCAACTGGTTTTCCTTAGATAGAAATAGATCTGACTGGATGATCTGGTGAACTGTAAAGTGCCTTGAGATGAAATGTGTTGTGAATTGACACTATAGAAAAAAACGGAATTAGGTAAACCAATGTCAATAGAATCGTATCGGTCTTTAAAAGCGATCCGATCAGTCGATCTGTATGGAGAGCATCACCTAACGCCCTATTTTCCAGTAAAAAAACATGCAAATCTGGATGAAAGAACAGTAAAAACAGACAGACGTGTTGCCCAACATGATGTCACCCGATGCATGCCTGTGTGCTTGTTTGTTTTGTTTTCTCAAAAGAAGATAATGATATATGACACAGGAGCAAAACAAATACAAAGCGATGACCTCAGCATGTCGGTTAGATGCTAAATCTAATAAAGCTTAGCTGGTTTTTAGGGGAAAAGGGAGATATTTCTCTGAAGTAGAGAGCCAAACATGTCATTTACAGCTTCTAAAGGGAATAAACCCAAATAAAATGCCAATCTGAACTGCAGCCAGATAATAAATGAGGAATATCTCCTCTAAATGCTCTGAAGCTTTTTGTTGATAAAGGCAGGCAGGTCCAGCAGGCATGACGGGCTGGACTGAGAAGGTTGATCGCATTTACCTGACAATTAAAAGCCTAACTCCTTCCCCCCCCTTAAACAGTATCGACATCTCTGTCTTGGTGTCGTTTTATGCGACAGCTGGCAGCAGACAATGCAGTCCGTCTCTGCTCCACACACAAGCATACAAGTCTGAACAGGCCACGTTTCTCCGTCGGAAACCAGATCTAGGGCGGATGGAGCAGAAGCTGGAAGGACTCTTAGAAAAATGTCCGTTTGGAAACCAGAGAAAACACCCAGGAAACGTTGCTAATCAAATAAAACGTTCAACAATTGGCTCGTGGAGGGTTTTTTCCCCTCCTTACAGACGGATCGATATTCCCCAATGCTCGTTACCTCTTCGACCTCCTCATCATCGCTCCAGCCATGAAGCTGGTCTTGTAGCTGGGCAGGACGGTCCAGTAGTAGCTCTGGTCGGACATGTCGCCGGTCAGCAGATCAAGCCAGCGGGAATCAGTGTCCTCTCATCGTGTTGAACAGGGTCTCCCCGTGGATGTGAGCTCGCGGGCTGTGGCTTAGGCCACCAGGCAGAGTCCGACAGCGGAAAAAACTCCATTCAGCTCCGGGAGAAACTGACCCCTGTTCGGCGGGAAGGCAGCTCCGGTTCGCTGAGCGACTTCAGCCGCCATGTTCCTTCAGCTCCGCTTTCTTATTCAGTGCTGAAAACCAGCAACTGTGTGTGTCAGCGGAGAAATGCAGCAGCATTCAGCAGAAGCTCAGATAGGGACACAAACTTTCCTTCAGCGGGACGGAGGAATGAACCGCGCATGCGCAAGACGGAGCAGACGGGAAGGGGCGTGGCTAGTGGTGCATTCAGAATCCATTAGGAAAACACAAAACTGATTTAACCTTTATATTAAAAGCACACATTAAAACAACCTTAACAGTGCTGTCGATTTTATTATTTCATACTTGGACATCTATTACTACCATATACATCCAAGAAGCCCAAACGGTGTGGAAATAACGTGAACGGTTCGGCGTATCCTGTTAAAACCTTTGGGTTTTCAAATGTCCAAAACACTTTTAACGTTACATTTCATCTGCATGAAATGGCATGTGACTAAGCATCGCAAATGTTTTTCTTTTTTAACCATCAGGATAAAATATATACTTTTTTAATATATTTTAAAATAT